CTGCAGCCATGGTAGTAGCATGCTAATCGCAGGCCATCAATCTATGCCGTCCACTTTTATAGAATATGGAACATGGAGCATCACTGCCAGAAAAAAACAGGACCAGTAATACATGGCAACAAAAAGCAGGCAGTTATCTTGCCACATGTGTTGCCAGTTTTGTGAATTTTCTTTGTCACAGGATGAATGAAGCACTATCTGTGTGTTCTCTGTTTACTCTGCAGCCAGCCTGTGTTAAATTGACAAAGACAAATTTACAAGATTTGACTTAAAACATAGTCAAGCAACTGAATACCCAGTAAGTTAATTAATTTTTCCAATTTCTTTGCACACAGTCAAACACATTGGAGGTCAGAAAATGTCCCAAAGAAATTAATGTCTGGGAGAGTCTGGGCTTATTTTTATATCAAAAAAGAGTTATGTGGAAACAAGGCATAAGCTATTCTTTGTTCATGTCCACTGCCACATAGGTGTCAGAAAAGGACTATGCTCCCTGGAAGTGTCATAGTGCCAGTTGCTAACTAAACTCCCATAATGCTCTTAGCTTGCCGACACAAAACTGCTGCTAGTCCAAGGAACTGCCTCCTAGAGTCACTAGAGCATTAAACAATACGTCATTCCACTTAGTGGTGCAACCAGGTAAATGAATATGTAAAGAATACAGGTTTTTGCCAGTTTTTTGGAGTTTCAGAACCACGATACACCCAACTCTCTCCATACTACAGTTCAGACAGTGCTCTCCGTAGCTCTACAACAAAGTTTGTGACCACCTACATAGAAATAATAAACAACTTGGATTCAGAAATGTATTTTCTTAATGCATTGCAGAGTTATTCAGTTGTATGTCAAGCATACACGTTGGATAGATTTCAATAACTCTAATGTATTTAAAGTGTGTATTATCTTGGAAAGTGGTATCACACACTAAATGTTAAGATACCCGGATTAGACCAGGGGTCAAACAAATTTGGGAGATCCCAAGTTTTAGTGTTTTGTTTCAGTCTCGTTCCTCTTATAGATGTGTAATTGTTGCTCCCAGTGAAAAGCTCTCCAATCCCACTGTACACAACTTGTTCAGCACCAAATGATGGACAAAGTTAGCAGGTAGCTGATAAACATAGTTGAGTATAGTGGGAGTTACCAAAATATCTATAGCTAAAAGTACAGCGAATATTAGATTTATGCTCGTGATGGGGTCAGACACACGACTCTGCGGTAGCCGATCACTCATGATGATCATCAACATCAGCATCAGTATTCATGATGTTAGATGTTGCTAACTATCTGCTAGATGTGTAAATAGGCAACTGTTTGTTTAGACGTTACCACATCAATTTAAAAGGTGGTAATTAATTGTGAAAAAAAAAACAAGCAAAAATTCTTACTTCGCAGAGCACAATAAATGCAAAACACAAGTCGGTGATTACTGACATTGGACATTAAGTTAAAAAATGATTTGCCAAACATGTCTTGTCACTCAAGTGTTTTTCCAGTAGAGGCAAAAGAATAGTTCAAGGTCCACTCATCTCATTATTGACAGCAAGGATTTGCTGTCAGATGTATGTGTCTGTTGATGTGTGTGTTGGTCAAAGTTGGCAGGACAGTTAAAAAAAGGAAAAGTGTTAACTGAGAACGTGGGTGACTTAACATGAGGTTCTTGTGTGTTTAGACATCCTCACACATATTAGGCTTTTGCACACCCTCTTTTCAGCACACACACACACACACACACACACACACACACTGTTCAGTATGTTAGCAGCTGAAAGTGAATGTTTATCAGAGGTGTGCAAACAAGCAGAGAGGAATGCTCTATGACTGAAATTTTTTCTTTTAAACCTGCCGGTAAAGTGGAATTTAAAACAAGGACATGCTTTTCTTCACTACTAAGCCAAGGCAAAATACCACAGCTGTACCACAGCTTCTATCAGAGCTTCGTGAAAGTGTGTACGTGTGTGCGTGTGTGTGTGTGTACACTGTCCTCAACACATATTTAAAGTACGGTGTGTTTAAATCCAATTTTGCTACACTCTGTACACTGCTGTCAGAGGCAGAATTTCAAGAACAGAGCTAGTGTATGTTCTCTGTAGTTTCAGAGACGTGAACAAATAAACAAACGCTGCAGCGGGTAAACCAAGGCTAAGTCTGAAATGTCAAAACATGGCCTAACAGTGTATCACTTATAGAAAACACATAAAACAAAGCATTTCACAGATGATATACTTTTACTATTATATATACTAAGTGCAACAGTCAAAAAAGTTCAGATCAATGTGTTGTAAACCATCAGACTCACTGTGAGACGGTATGATTTGGAGTGTACAAGAATAGAGGCATAGTGAAGCTATAGAAAACTTCTATTTAGCATACCCAGTTATAATTGTTCTAATAGAAAGTCTCTTAAAATGACACACTTTGGTGTTATTTATTTATTTATTTTTTTTGTCACCACATCTATAAACCTTGCTGTATACATGCAATTAGTGACAGCAGACATATTTAGACCTTAATTGTCCAATTTAATGATAAAATCATTAAAAAAAGAAACTCCTGAAAATTACGTGCTTGACATTTACAAATGGACATATACTTCCAGAACTTCCATTTTTCCTGTCACTGCATATTATCTGCATGTTATATTATATGTGATGTATTGCAATATTTAACAGTATTGTAGTTTGTCTATTGATAATACACTGAGTATACATATACACACACCTAGTGATGTGTAGGTTCCTCTCATGTCAAACATGTCTGACCTGTCAGGATGTAAACATGGGTCTCTGGGGGTGTTCTGTGGTGTTGTCTGGGGATGTGGCCTCCATGGAGTGGGCTTGTTCCGGTGCATTACACAGATACTCCATTGGATTGGGATCTGGGGAGTTTGGAGGCTGGGTCAATGCCTTGGGCTCTTTTTTTTGTGTTCTTTAAGCTGTTCCTAAGCAGTTTTTGTGGTTTGGTACGGCACTTTAACTTGCTTGGGGAGGCCGTTGCTGTCAGGCAGTGCTGAAACAATGTCTAGGTTGGTGGTGTGTGTCCAAATCTACATGCATGCCAAGGCACCAGGTTTTTCTAGCAGAAAGACTGCATTACAACAAGGTGGTCAATGTTATTCACTTCAGTGGTTTTAATGTAGTGGCTGATTGGTGTGTACATAGCAGGATACTGGTGTGCGGATGCAGCCTACTCCCATACTCATGCAAACACACGAACATTACACAGTTGGCTCTTTTAACCTATGCAGAGAGAGTTACCTGACAGCAACATGTAAACTGACACAGTCACTGTGGGACACAGGGTGTCGTGGAGTTTTGCACAAACATTCACATTGACACATACAGGAGCACTTTTACAGAAGTAGAGTTCCTGTGTTTAGTATATAATATTTTCTAAGTTTGGCATATAAGAGACAAAGTAAACTATGTAATAGAATGGAATTTAAATTGTGATGTACTTTGTGCCCTCAATATATCCCAGCATTTTTTTTTTTTTTGCGTTTTGACTGGAGGTGACTTGCTCTGACAAAGACTTAATTCAATTGAATGGGAGTGAACTGAATTGCACAAAGAGAGGTTGGTTTAAAGGATCATGCCAAAAGGAATGTGATCCAGTGCCTCTCTGAGGTTGTGAGTCACAGCCAGTCATACAGCCGGCAGCCGAAGACAGTCGCTTAGTTTGATGTTAACTTGCTTCTCCTCCGGCGGCGGCTGTCACCTCTTGGTATGCCTCTGTAGTGGGAGCTCAGATCAGTGGGGTATCTGAGGCCCTGTCGTTCTGCTCTCCATCACAACCACCATAGCTTGCTCTAGGACACAGGTAGCAAAGCTGTACCGCCAACTGAATGCGAGGAGATTTATGTTGCTGGGAGTGCTGGTTGCTGATAGTGCTTGATGGTGACTTGCTTGCTTACTCCTTCTTTCTTGTGGCTTCTTACTGGTTTAAATGCAAAGATGCCTTTTGTAAATGTTGGCTTTGCGGTTTGCTTCTTGTTCATATCTGTTAGTCTGCAGAACAATCAACCTGTGGTTGAGATGTTAAATAAATACAATAAAGTGAACATAGTGCCAATAAAGCAAAGCTGCCATCAAGGAAAGCAGGGACTGCTTTGATATTTGTTCACATACCTTAAAGTTTGTGTCATTGTATAGTTTTGATGGGTACAGTCTTTTTGGCAATGGAGACAATTGCAAAATTGCATTATATTATATTAAAATAGCACAATTTTTAAGTTAGTCCATATTTGACCAATAGCAGCCAGTAGGCTTAATCCATCTACTCAGTCTATTTGAATTATAAATAGAATAATTTCATTGAGTGTGTTCTGTCTTTTGCTATTATAAAATTATATGTACATACTGTGATTAAAGACTTTACAGTACAATTTTTCCATCTTAACCAAACTTGCTCCAGCTATGATAAAGAAGGGCTCAAAAGACACGTCTCTTTGACCACTAGCTGCAAGAGACTTGAATGAGACAGTATTGTGGCTTTTCTTAGCCATCTCTCCGAGCCATTTTATTAACACAAGCTGTGCATCACTTCTAGGTCAATGAATCAGATGGCTAGCAGTAGCTAGCATGCTGTTCCTATTAGCAATATTGCCAGTACGAGCCACATATCATTGCAAGTTGATCAGTTTAGCTCGCTGTCAGGGACAAGTGACGTCTCCCTGTATTAGAGTGACTTCCTGTTTAGGCGGAGCCAGAGGCAGCCAGCTCACACATGGCTGGCCTGAGGCTGTGGTGATGGGCTCAGATGATTAGCTGAAGGCTCTGTTGGTTGAGTCAGAGGTGATCCTAACTGGCCTTGAGTGATGACTGTCGGAGCTGACTTCTGGTGGATTTTTAATGAGCTAAGACAAACACGCACAGAAAAACAGAATAGAGAAAGAATCACAATGGGTTCTTTGTAATGCTGGAAGACAGTTAATACTGTATTAAAAGATACAGCTTCTCTTGCTTTATTACTTACTCTATCCATGTTGTGTTTCTTTTTTGCAGGAAGCTGTACGTTTGATGAGGGCTTCTCTCAGTGTGATTACCAACAAGATCCTTATGATGACTTCGACTGGACGCACATCAATACCCAGGAAGTACCATATGTCTCACCTGATCTGCCACAAGGTGAGGCTCAACTCACTTTTTTTATGTTTGTCATCTACAAATCACTCCTTCAACATGTTATTGGGAAAAGTAGCTATGTGCATTTACACAAGGATATGTTAAAGTGTTTGTGAACTTTTTGAAGTAAAATACTGAAAACCTTATTCTGTATTCACTTTTCTAGTAGTTTCTACCTGAACTCCACCATATTTTAAAAAAGAAAATCTACTCATTAATATGTTAGTTGTGTCGTAGCCTGCCTATTACTGTACTATACTCTGGTTATTTGGCTCCTGGGAGGGGGTCCAGTCCCTACGTTTAGAACCACTTGACATAATGATCTAAGTTTATGAATATGAAGTAGTTAGAACTAGCTCCACCGTAACCTGCTGCTGCAGCACAATGCTTCTTGCATGTAGGGCTGGTCCGGCACAAGTAGAGCGACCGAATATTTGGATATTTGGCTATTCGGGTCCAGCCCTACTTGCATGTTGATACATGAGTGTTCTGCGAATCACATACTTTTATTTTGATACTTTGACTACATTTTGCTGATAGTAGTACGTTTGTGCTTTCGCTGAAGTAGAAGTTGAACGCAGGCCTTTCACTTTTGTATTTATATGTAATTGTAGAAGATCTGGGTACTTCCTTCCTCACTGACAACACTCTCCTCTCCTCTCCTCTCCTCTCCTCTCTCCTCTCCTCTCCTCTCCTCTTTAATCAGTTGTTTTTTTTCCTCCATGATGATGAAGGGGAAATTAAATCTTTCTGCCTCAGGGCTGAGGGTCTAATTAACAGAATATGAGGTCATTAATCAACGGCAGGGAACAGGGAAGGTTGCCTACTTTACAATGTTAAAGAAGAATGTTGTAACAGTAACTGGCTAGGCAATGTTGAAATAGTAACTTGCTTTCCAAAACCAGAGTAAGAATGTTGACTAGTTTATGGACAGTGAAGCTGAAAAATGCCAAGAAACCATGTTAAAGTGTAACAAGCACAAACATGTTTCAGTTTGTTGGTGTCTTTAGTCTTTCTTTTCCTTTCCTTTTGTCTGACCTCTCCTCTTCTCCCCTTTTCTCTACTTTAATTTTCTGTTCTTTTGTCTCCTCTTGTCTCCTTTCACCTTAATTCCTTCCATCTCCTTTACTTTCCACCTGTTCCCTCTCATCTCCTATCTTCTGCGCTCTTCTTCTCTTCTCTCCTCTCCTCTTCCTCTGTTGTGGGAGATTACGACTTTGTTACCATGACAATGTAATGCCATTATTTATCTCTCATGCTTATCATCATGACAACCCAGACTTGCTGACATTTAGAGAAAGGTTCTCTTCAACACCAGCTCTTTGCAGTTTTCACACAAATACACAGCTTTCCCCCCACAAACTGCCGTCTAGCACATGTGATCTTGCATATATTTAAACAATGACACATGAGTGTAATGCCCAGTGGTATAGAGCCCAAGTCTAGCATTTAGAATTATTAATACCATATGGTGTCACTGCGAAGAAGGCAGAGTTGGCAGTTTGAGGAGGTTAAATACCTTGCCCAAGAAGGCAAAGGTAATGTCTGGCATTAGCATAGCATTAACGCCTGTGGAAGCTAGTGGAATGAGCAGAGGCATGGGGATGGCAGAGCAGGTTAATGGTTTGGAGATGTTGGTTGCTGAAGGGAAGGTTTAGAGCCTTGCCTAAAGGTACAGAAGCATGAACTGACATTTGATGTGTTAATAATGCCAGCAGGGTGTGAAACAGTGGTGCAGTCGATGGAAAACAAGGTTGCTGGAGGGGATTACAGATACAGCACTTGGCGAGGTTTTCTATTTGGAAGTAGTAGTAGGAAATGGGTGAGGGGCCGAGTCGGTGACTTAAATGCTCTGCCCAGGGACACAATAATGTCTATTATTAGAATTGTTTTCTCAAGCAATCCTAGCCACCAGTAGCTTTGTACTGTGGTCTGGCTAGCCTCAGTCTTCCTGAGGGCATGGCGTGATTTAGAGCAGTGGTGCTAAACCTTTTTCACTTTTGACCCTTGAAGACAAATGGATGCTTACTCCAGTTGTTTCAGGGGATTTTTTAAGAGTGTTCTATCAGTGGTAATGACAGAAAAAGAAATCATCTACAAGGAGCAGAATTGTTGTAGTGTTACTGCAAAGCCAACAATTGTACTTGTTTCCCTCATCACCCACATTAATTTGTCCCAGTTGCTAATCATCATTTGTGCTTAAGGCAGCATTGAATGTGCAGGGATGGGTTGGCAGTTTTTGTAACGGAGATAAAACTCTTTCATGTAATCTCTCTGGGGGTTGACATTGGCACTAGTCACCATTGCAGGGTCTAGATGCTATGCTGGCAATGTACGTTGTGCAGTTGAACATTCATGGGCTGGGGCTCTGTGGCTTAGTGGACTAAAGCAGATACTCTCAACTCATAATATTGTTAGCCAGCACCACTGTGAATGTAGCGGGCTTGCCATTCTCTGCATGTCGTCTTTCCTCTTGCACTGTCTAATAGGGAAGAAGAAAAAAGGCGTTTAAACTGCAGCAGGGTCCACGATCGAATAATGGTGGATGCACCAACACAGTCTTTACAGCTTTAACTACTGCTAAATCACACCTCTCTGACACAGTCTTTGCAAAGACTTGAGCATTAGACTTCACAAAAGTAGTATTTGTTGCTTTAGATTGCTTTGTCTTTAAAACATCAATTACAGATAAAATTGTAGATTGAACACTGTTAGGTCTTGTTAGGCTGAATCAAGGTGTTTATTAATCAGTTGGGCTTTTTGTGGTTTCTGTCATCAATTTTGAAAATGTACAACTTTTTATTTGTCTTATATGATGGTAAGCTGAAATGAATACATTGTCAAATTCTTTAAGTGATTAAAGCTTGATTAAAGCAACAAATCTCTCTTTTATAGAGAATTAAATTTGATGATTAAAATCAAAATGAAAAACAAAAAATATGAAATGCAAAAAGGCGTTGCACAACAAGTCAGGAAGTATAGGCTACATAAAATATAAACACTCATGCAGTTATTATAATATTCAAAACATTAACAAAAACAAACAAACAATAAAAAAAAACATTTACTCGTGCTTGCCACATAATTCCAAAGACCCCAGTTCAATTCCAGTCAAGGACCGTGTTGCATATCATAGGTCTGTCTTTTACCCCAAAATGTATGTCTATTCCTTTCCTTCAACTGTCCAAAGCAAAATATGCAACAAATTACATCTTAAAAAAGCCCAGGGAGTTAGGCAGTTCTTTAAGGAAAATAAAAATGATCTCAACATCAGACCAGTAGCTGGAGAAGTAGGGCCTGTAAAGTACGTGGTCTCCCCTCTCACCAGAGTGTAATTGTGGGTGTTATTTCTGAGAGGTTGTTAGTTATTTTGTATCCTACGTAATTTGAGTGGTGTCTTAAAAGGCTAAAAATGAAAGTATACTGCTAGCTGTTACCCCACCAGCAAGCTGTTATTGTTTTGACGAAGAATACTGTCCTCTGTCTACCACACTGCTGTTGTCATTATGTGACATATCTGGGTCTTAGGCTGTCACAGCGTTATTTTTAGCCTCGTCGTTATATTGTGTTGTCATTCTATTAGCAGCCATTTTAGACTTTGGCAGTACAAAGACATCAGCCATTTTAGAAACTGGCAGATTCAGGTGTCAGATGTTCTTGGCATTACAAGGTCTGCTTGCTTTGCATGGGTATTGTATCAGTTTCATGTACTGTCATTCTTTTACTGCTCATATTTTCCGATCTAGTTTTGCCCAGATTAGGTCTGTCCCCATAGGCTGGTATTAAAGCAATTGAATGATGTCTAGATTATTAGTGGGAATGGTTTCAGGAACCATGGTTGAAATGATTTTAACAAGGTTGAAGTTGTATCACTGTAAAATAATAACCCTCTGTTTTTAACTATGCTAAATCATTTGCTGTTATGATTTTGTACCAGGCAGCATCTGGACTAACTGAAGTACAAAAGGTTAGATTTTGCAATGTAGCAGTTGTAACTTGTGAAGTATCTGGGTCTCTGGCTGATAGATTGTATTTTTAGCTGGCACACATCTTGGCAAGCATCTTAAAAACTCTTTTCTCGTGTCACCATCTTAGTATCAGTGCCAAAAATGAAGAAGTAGGAGTGACGTCGACCACATGTTTATTTTGAGCAGATTAACATTACAGTGTTGGAAAGAGAGAATGATGCTGCCCTTGTTTTGTTTCCACCCTGACTGGCGATAGTCCAGTTTGGATGTAGTCATCTTTGGTTTGGTTGGTGACATTCAGAACCAGGAAGTAAGCTTATTCTAATACCTTCGTGGCAGTGGTAGAAGTGTGTGTGTTTTTGGTATGCGTGTGTGTAGAAGTACGCCTGCAGTGGAAGTAACAGAGAAAAAGAGAAGAGATCAAGAGTAAAGAAGAACCAAACCAGTAGCCAGTGTACTGAAAGGTTGATGTGTCTGTCTGTGACCACACTTGTTTGTGCGCATCAATTGAAAGCCTGTTAGGTTCTGCTCTATTCTGCAGAGAAACATATTTTAACACAGTAGATTAGCAAAACAATAACTGGTAATCACCACTGTCCTACATTCTATAGAGTCCATTTTGCACATGGTATAATATGCAAATAGAATTAACCAGTTATTGTGAGTGTTTTCTCACTATTTTGTATTCAATGATCTTTATTCAATAGTATTTAATTATTTTTTATGGTGTTCTATTTTCTTCCTTTTTGTACTCTTCTGTCTTAAATTTTTCTATTCTTTTCCATTCTATTCTGTTCTGCATTACAACTAACAATGTGTTATTTTCATCACTCAGTAATCTGTGAAGTATTGTTTCAATCAATGAAGTAAACATAGCAAAAAAATACTCTGAAATGTCACATTAATTATGGACTACAGTATTCTTACTTAGATATTAAGTTTACAGTAACATAAAAAAGAAAGAAACAGTAAATCCTTGTAATTGAGAGGCTGGAACCAATGTGAGGCACTTTTGAGTAATAAATGGCTAATCAAAAAGAAAGACTGACTAATAAGTTAATCAACGTATTGTTTCAGCTCTAGTTCTATTCCGTTTAAATGGAATACCCTTCAGATAGAATTAAGCAATATCATGGGCTAGTTTCTCTCAATTTGTGATGAGCTAATGTGAGATTGTGAGATTAAACATCAAGCAGGAAAGGATCGCATTTCATCATATTTCAGTGCAGCAACATCTGGTTGCGGTCTGAGCTGATTACTAGAACATCTGGATGGGCAGACTGACTGTCCTGTCAGTACACCCAGATTATTTATTATTTTAAGCTCAGTTTCTCAGAGTCAGCTACAATAGGTACAAGATATGGTGCTCAATAGTGTTAGTAGGCTAACAAAGTGAGTGAAGAGCCAAGTGTGAAGTAGTACATTCATTCCTAACTTACTCATCTTCTGCGAAATGGAACATTTTTATGCTGTGCCATCATGTCAGCATAAGAAAAAATATCTGATTTGTATCTAGACGCAGCAGAGAAAAGGAGAACATTTTTAAAACACAAGAAGTAAAACCAGAAAAGCATAGCCTAGAGGACAGCTGTAAAATACAACTAATCGTGGATTGCTGCAGATATTGTTATATTGCAAGCTGTATAAACTTTTAACTGTGCTGCTAAGGAGCCCCTGCCAACTGCTATACAGCATCAGTATATTGCAATGTTGTTTTGCTTACAAACTGGCCACTTTGAAGGGTCTCACCTCTTGCTTTCTTTGTCTATGTGTTGAGTTGTTGTTGGTTTGTAGCTGAGAAACCATAACATTAACCAAGACACAAATGGCACATTTATAGGAGTAGGAGTTTGTTTTATTGGCATTTGTGGTGTGGGAGGTGAACTGTGGCTTTGTTCTCATGACAAGAAATCCAATATATCTAAGTGTCTGATAGTAGAGAGGAATGGTCAAAGTGGACAAGCAGGTAACCAAGATCATAAAGGAATGGGGTAGGATTGGTTTCCATTTCATTCCTCACTAGAAACCAGTTGGTCATGGGTTAAATTCATAGGTTACATGTTTAAGAAATCGTATAAAAAATATATTTTAAAAAAAAAAACCCAATTGAATAAATTCCATGTAGACTTTAGAGTCTTTCAAAAGCTATATTTTACTGTAAACGTTCACTCTTTTAAGCTACACAGAAGCAGTTGGTTTGCTCATTAAGGTGCATGTGACACAAGCTGTGGGCATACAGCCCACTCTTTGGCAACTGCAATCATAATACTCACTGCATCTACACACTAACTATCTCCTCAGAGGGCAATATTGCTAATCTGTTCAAACCATGAGTTTCAGTAAATATGTAGTGTTCTTACACAAACAGTTGCAAACAAAAATGAACTGATTCATGGGTTTTGATGCAGGCCATATTCACCTTGCACTTTGTGACTGAAGTAAAACATAACAAAGTGCCTTGGTAAGTTGTTGATTCCTCACGTGCTATGCAGCAATATACACTATGTATGGATTTGCCTGAAGTGTCCTTTAAATGGAATAGGCCGAGACCAGTTCAGCAGAATGCCCCTCACAATACAACAGAGCCACCAGACCCACTTGCTGTATGGGCCAAAGGTTAATTTTTTTCTCCTTAATTTTTAACCTGTCAGTATAATTCATTTTCTTTGTCTCTACATCCAGGTTCCTACATGTATGTTGACATCTCGCAGTATGATGTTGGAGAGAAGGCAAGGTTTCAGCTGCCTGTCATGAAGGAGAATGACACTCACTGTATTGACTTCAACTATCTCCTCACCAGCCCTGACGGCTCCAGCCCTGGCACCCTCAACGTCCTGGTGAAGGTATTAAGCACCAACTCAGCAGGGCAGACAACAAACAAAACAGGATTTACTGGAAAATATGGTCTTTGTTGTGTGAAATATTACCACAAGTAATGCAACTGACATTGGATACAAGGTTCTGATTGTCTTGCCTTAACCAAGATTTGTGCATCAAATTTTTATACAGCACACTTAATAACAACATAAGTTGACTAAAGTGCTTGACGTATTGTCAGATCAGTACCATCGGCATAGCAGTGGAATGAGATCGCATGCGAAAATGCATAATTAGATATTATTTTTTTTACAAAAAAAATCTCTTAAAGGACAAACATGGTGAAATAAATCAGAGCAGACCTATCTGTATCTATATTTTATAGTGCAATTTCCAACGCATTATTATGTTCTCCTATAAAATGTATAAAAATATCTTCATTGTTCTGCAAAGTCCTACAAGCCTAGAGGTGCTGGCGCCACTAACCCTTACCTTGTTGACAGGGACAAATGTAAAAACATGACTTAAAGTGCTTAAGTTTTCTTTTATTTTTTCTTCTTTTCAGTTTACTGTACCTTACTGTATGCCAAGTGAAATAAAATTTCTCCGACGATATCAGGAAATCTTTCTGTGAATTGTTTATATGTTTTATATTGTGTTCTGTGATATTTCCAGGTAAACAAGGGTCCTTTGGCCAACCCCATATGGAACGTGACATCCTACACTGGTAAGGACTGGCTCAGAGCACCGCTCAATATAATTTCATTCATGGAGTGATTTTATTGGCTTTTGGTGACTCTAATGTTGTCATTCAGGTAAAGACTGGCTGAGAGCTGAACTTGCTGTCTCCACCTTTTGGCCGAATGAATATCAGGTGAGTCCCTAAATAACAAGCAACAGCTGTTTATACAGACAATTCCTCTATCATGTGCATATTTCATTATTTCAGTCATGTGTATGCACCAACATCACATAGAGACGCATGCTGTGAGGCAATCAGGTGATTTATTAATGTTGACTGAGGCTCAGGAGGTGACGATTGGGCAAGACTGACCCTTACAAAGGCAAACTGTGTGTGTTAATGTGTACTTGTGTTTACATGGCTGGGGGTGTGTCACTATGGTGGACATGACATCACTGACATTGCTGTCAGTGCGTTTATGTCTCATTTATGTGTTTTTAATGACACCTGTGTGACCCGACCTGAACATTATGAGATTCACAGAGGAGAATGTTGTGCAGGACTATTGTAGCAGGTTGCATTGTTCTTAACTTGTGTGAGTTTATCTCTCCCTCTTTCTTAATACATGTCAGTCAGTATTATCTGTATGTGTTTGTTGGCTGCTGCTGACAGATGTGTACATGTTTCAGAATAGCCTGTCTGTGAATGTTCCAGCAGGCTCACACACATGCACACTGATTACATTAACACACACACAGCCTGGGGACCATATAATATTACTATAAAGTGAAGTGTGAAAGCATTTTCCAAATAGCCCATCTGGAGCCCAGTCCCCCTCAGTGACTATAGGAGGAGAACGCCAGCATGAAACTCGTGTGTCAACATGTTTTAATTGAACGTAATCATGCTGGTTTGCTGAGGCTTATGTAGGTTTTTCAGGCTGTGAAGCAGGTTATTGGCTTTGGGGTTATGAAGCTATTTTTTTCATGTTTGAACATGTTCATTTGTTGGCACTTAGCACTGACTTGCACTGGGAATGGTTTCACCAGTGGAAGACCTGTCACATGCAGACATACTCATAAGAACAAATGCAAACACAAAAGGCACGCCTCCCCCCCACCCACTCAGCACTGGTTAAGTTGACCTTTGTCTTTAGCTTTTATTGACTTTAAGAGAAAACTTAACATTGTTTTTGATTGATGAATGTATTTCTTGACTGTTCCTAAACAGCAATACAGTTAACTATTTTTATTCCTCTACCAAAGTAAGAGCCAAAGCAGAAGTATGTGATCATAAATCAGTGCTTTAGTTTTAATTTTAGTTTGTCTGTTTTTAGCAAGATTGTGCAAAATCTACCCAGCAAAATTTCATAAAACTTGATAGAAAGATGGAGCATGGGAAAGTAAAGAACCCATGAACTTTTGTTCCAGATCTGGACCACTTCAATTTAAAGAGAGGATCTCTCCCATCTAGTTTAATTTTAGCTCTATCAACTTGTCAATCAGTTATTGAAATAAATATAATTATATAATCATAAATAACAACTGAACAAAAAATCCCCAAATTGTACTGGGTCAATTGTCTCCATGAAGAAGATTTATTTTGTTTTGGACTGTTTATTGGAGTTATTTGGCATGGCATGGATTTTTATTTTTTATTTTTTTTATTTTCTTTGTTGTAGCCTTAGTCTGTTTTTGTTATGTTTTTGGTTTTCTATATGTAAATTCTCTTTTCGATGTCATGCCACAGGAACATGCATTAGCTGAAGCTGTAGTTTACATACGTATATGTATAGAGACAGCTGTTACCTTAAAGCCAATTTACATTTATTAGGATTCAGACTACACGATTAAATTAAAAAATGTCCCACCCTGCAGCTTTAGCATTTTTCTTTCGATGTTCATACATGAATACATCACAGTGATATATGCAGTTGGATGATATGAGGATGTATGCCATCATCCAACTCTACTTTGGAGTGATCATATGTCAGTCCGTAGCCTTCGGCATTTCAGAGTTGTTTTGCCTGTGTAAGAACTTGTAACCACAAGCTATCAATAACCCTGCTTTACGAGGAGGAGAGCAGCCAGTCAGTAACTATTTCACACCAACATGATGAAAGGTGACACCATAGGATGTATCAAGAATTAAATAATAAAAGACTTACAGGAAATGACTACATTACACAAAGAGCGAAAATAAGCAATGACTTGCATTAAAGCTGGAGTGACCCTAAGGATTATGGAAATCATTTTGATCCTGCTTTCTGGAATACAAGTTAACTAGTAGAGCTATAGATTTGACACTAACGCAAAATGACTTGTTTGATTCAACTGCTTTGAAACGTGACTTACTTTTGACTTCACTGCCAAAACATTTGGCTTAAGCTTTGAAGATGACAACAAACCACAGATTCACATCTCAAGATTTGAGCTATCAGCCTCTCTTAACAATAACAGTTAATTGAACAGTAACATACAATCCACTAGTGCTGCTTTTTTTTCAAACAAATTCAAACATTTAATTTGTGTAACTAATAGCAATGTCTTTCACCAAACTCTAAAGTATGTCAAAGAATATCCATCCATCCATCCATTATCTATACATACATATATGTACACATTAATCCTCACTAGGGTCGCGAGGGGGCTGGAGTCTCTCCCAGCTGACTTCGGGGACACCCTGGACAGGTCACCAGTCTATCACAGGGCTACACTTAGAGACAGACAACCAAGCACACTCACATTCACACCTACAGACAATTTAGAATCACCAATTTCGCTCAACATGTTTTTTGGACTGTGTGGGAGGAAGCTGGAGAACCCGGAGAGAACCCACGCTGCACATACAAAAGATCCCAGTACCCCCACCGGGACGTGAACCAGCAACCTTCTAGCTGTGAGGCAATAGTGCTAACCACTGATCCACCTTGCAGCCCCTGTCATAGAATATGCTCCCCTCAAATAGAAATGTCAGTGAAGATATTTACTTTTACTATTTTGTTTTTCTATTTTGACAGCAACAAGGAGACAACTCAAAGCCACACACTTTACACATTAGAAAAAGAAAGATTTTTCCTCAGCTATGTAAAAAAAAAAAAGTATGAACAGTGATTTATAAAGGAAAATATTCAGATGTATCAACTCGCTGTATTTGGTTAGCATTTAGAAACTGACTGACTGACTCAACTGACCTCAGATTCAAAATAAGCTATATATTCTGAAGATAAGATAAAACATATTTTAGAAACAGTAAAAGTATACATTTGTACACACGTGTACTCAAAAGAGAAGGAATCATTAGGTTGTGTTACGCTATCATAGCAGAAGCGTTTATAGTAACAGCAACGATGAGCAGACTGGAGAGGTAGGCAGACAGGCAAGCTGGTCATCAGACAGACAGCGATGAAGGTATTAAAAGTCAGCTGATGTCTTTCTGCTGTGCTCTGCAGTGAGCTATGAGTGAAAGATGATAGGAGAGAGAGACAAGATAGATTGGAAGGGGAGGGAGACAGAGAGGGGAAGAGTGTGACAAGCAGGAGATGATAAGCTATGGGTAAACAGTTCACGGCAGATTTCCTATTACAGGTGATGAATGACAACAACTGCTCACCCCCTTGCTCTCTTTCTCCCTCTGCCTCTCTTTTTGATGGCATTCATTACAGCGCTCCTCTCTGAGTAAACACTGTTAGAAAACAGAGAGAGACAGAGAAAGAGAAATTAGACGGTAGAAATTGTTCGAAAGGTATGATGATGGAACAAATAAGGAGTGTAACGAGTTGGAAGGCTATCATATAGACAAGGCGGAGAGAGGGAAGAAGAGAAAGATGAGGATGAGGAGAATCGCCTCTGCTCAGATCTTCAGTTAATGAACTGCAGGGAAATTGAAGCACCTGTTGGCTGCAGCATTATGATACCACTTAAAATTACAATTATAACCTGCTGTTAACATGTATGGACTTCACTTCTCTTGTCTCTTCCCTTGAAGCACGCAGATGTTTAGCGTTAAGGATGCAATTTACACACTCAGTGGTGATTGGTTATTTCATTCCATGCTACACGAGCATGGAAATGTTCATAGCAATATGTTTTTATACATTGTTTTTCTTATTTAATTCCCATTCACACTGACTGTCCATCATATTGCAAAGTAGTCTCTCAAAGGACTCTCTAAGTGGTAAGGCCTTTGGGTGCAATAGTGAAGTCGACAACGCTGTTTCCATTCCGCAGGGTATCAAACACATGCGATTGGTTGTTTCCACTGCATCGGTAGAAATTCACATGAAATTGAACTTTCCACCACATGCTTCATGTTGCTTCAATAAGTGATATCTGTGTTTTGAATCACAAAAAACTGCACTTGCTTCTTTTTGACAGTTCCATTCACAAGAATTGAAGCCTGCCATGCCTCTCGTGTTTGTGTTTATGTGTGTGAAAGGAGGGAAGTGGGCTGTAATACCAAGACTAGCTGGAAAGCAGCACTAAATAAAACTATGACCTGAAATTCAGTCAATACCTGAATGCTAATGGCAGCATGTTAACATGTACACTATTACCGTGTTGCCATCTTAATGTTTACCAAGGTTATCTTCTTACTTTTGTGTGTTAGCTTGCTAGTCTTGCAAAGTAGGTGTGACACTTACACAAATAAATTTTGCAAGTATTTGGCAAAGTGTTGGACAAAGTGTTGAACACATTTTAAATCAAATTAGAAATTATTCTGTGACCAACATAGCATAACATGTCTTTATAAAAATGTATAGCATGCCATCCCTAGCACCACTAGCATAGCTGAAAATCTGTATCCATGTATTATTTTTATTTTATCTTTTAAAATAACTTTATAGCTGCCAGAACGTGGACTTTAAGTCTAGTATTTCTGAAAGACTTACTTAAGGAACAATATGAAGTAAAGAAAAAGATGTAGATGCAGTAAATAAAGTCAAGAGAGGAATTGAAAGAACAGGAAAAGACAGAATAGCATAAGAATGAAAAACAGACGGCACCGACCGCTTCTTTCTCTGTCTTACCTGGGTTTCATTGCTAATTCACATTGCTTCATCATTTCTGTGGTAGCCATTTTAATACATGTAATAGGAAAATCGCAAACCTAACAATGTAAGTCAGTAATGACTTCATGATCTTCTCTGTGTTTAATATGAAATATTTACCAAAATATACTTTGCAAAGAGAGATTAGACCAAATACAACAACATAGAAATTTGACCACTGGGGAATAAAAACTAAAATTAGTGGAGACTCTTACTTGACTACATTTTGTGATTTTTTTTCCATAGATTTTTGAATACAAATTGGATGTGAATTTCTGTGTTGTGTGTTGTTACAATGATCTCATCAACTATTTTCAAATAAAGGGCTTAATTGACTACTAAATACTATGTATTAATGATAATAATGAAGACAATAATATCCTCTCTCTCATTTTTCAGGTTATATTTGAAGCAGAGGTTTCGGACAGCAAAGCTGGGTTTATCGCCATAGACGACATTCAGGTGCTCAGCTACCCATGCGGTGAGTCATTAGCATGCCAGCAATTAGTCCTAGTTCGCTGAATAGACGCTGATAGCTTTGGCCACTAATTAGACTGTACCTGGGATGGTTTCTGTTGCAGTTGAGCGGGTAGATAAGTGGGAAGGTGACACAGGAGTGGAGGGATGCAGGAGAAAGACAAGTCACAGAGAAAAATGAAAGAAATACAAAAAGGAGAGCGAGATTGTAAGGAGGAAAAACAGAGAGAAGGAGGAAATAGGAGAGAGTGAAGCGGGAAATGAGACAGTATTAGGGCAATCATGGTGAAAGACGATTCTGACCACTCAGCATTTTCTCTTTCCCTTTAACCTATGAACACACACATTTACACACGCACGCAAGCACACACACACGCGCGTGCGCGCGCGCACACACGCACACCCACACACACACACACACACACACACACACACACACACAGAGAGTGAACAGTAGATGTCTTGTCTCTGTACTGACAGGAAAGAGATGAGGGAGCAATCCATTTTATTTTCTGGCTGCATTTCAAGTCTTCTTGCCTCCTTTACTTGAATGTTTCCTTACTCCTAGGGACAAAAGAAAAAAGTTGACGAAAAACTGTTTCTGTTAAAAGAAAGGTCTGTTAATCTGAACCCATAGGCATGCTCCTGAATGGTCTTCATGTTGGAGAGGAAACTATTACAACTCCTTTGGACATATATCTAGTAGCAGCACTCAAATCTTTCAAGCCAATTCCGTTTCTTAATGGATTCTATTGATTATAAGTCATAAAAATAAACTGTCTTGCACCATCCCCTCTCACAGTTTGTGAGGTCCTGGTATCACTGTGGTCCACATCTCTGTTGTCGATATGTCTTTGGAAGACATTCCTAGACATGAAATCTAGGAAAGACTGAAGAAAGGATCCCCAGTCTTTTAAAGGCAGAGCAGCAGGACTGTCAATAGGAAGGAGCAAGTATTTGAAAAGGAATTAGTACCTAGCCTTCACAGTGGAAGCATTCATTCACACAGCTGCATTTCTGGACACACAGGTTTTGTGTGTGTGTGTGTGTGTGTGTGCGCATTTGCATGAATGCATGTGTGAGAGCTTGTGTGTGTGTGTTTTTATTCACCATAGGAGCTGCAATCTATGATTGCAATCACATCCCTTGAATAAAAATGTCATAGCTGAACTGCATCTTCAGGGTGTAAAAGGCTTATTTCATATCTTAGCCCAGTAGTTAACAATTGGAGGCTATTTGATTTATATATACCGAATGTGACATTGATGTTATTTCCAAGTGGCAATGCAGCACTGTGTGTTGGTTATGTCTGACTCTGGTGAAATGTAACTGTAATAATAATGTACATACTCCTTAGGGTAACACAGTGTCCCAAAATGTTTACACTTGATGATAACCTGACCTGTTATTCACCTCATTTCCACTTTCAACAGTCAAATAAAATAAACAAAAATATTTCAAAGCACAAATACATATAACCTTGCTCTAAACTCAATCTGATTTTGTTCACTGATTTGACTTTATTTCCCACAGATAAATCCCCTCATTTCCTGCGCCTTGGGGATGTAGAGGTGAATGCCGGACAAAATGCCACATTTCAGTGTATTGCCACAGGACGAGACACCTCGAACAACAAACTCTGGCTACAGGTAAAGTTGTACACATGCATATTTATGATACACAAATGCAAATCATGTTTTTCTGTAACTATACCTAGAGTCTGTCAAAAAGATAAAGTTTGCTGTTTGTATATTATTATTATCATATGCAGTTGGGATCACTGTATTTGCAAGAGACATGCATACAATGACAGTATTGACATTTTAATGATTTATGCAGCTTATTTTTTATAACAGAATGTATCTTAGAATAGAACAGAGTTGAAATATTTATTCTGTTGAATATTCGTATTTAACACAAACAAAATTTGTGTAATTTCTTTGGGCAACGTTTTCCCGTTATTCTATCATGGAAATTTTTAAAACACGTGCCTTTGTCACAAAAAACAATCATGCATTTTGGTTCTTCTATAAATTTACTATTGGACTTCTGGAAACATGACAAAATCTTCAGGGTCACAAACACAAGACAATGATTCCAAACACACATCACAAAATGGTATAAAAACTATTAAAAAAAATAAAATAAAATGGCTAAATCAGGCTGCAAACAAGGTTTAAGACTCTCTCCCCAAAGTCCTGACTTAAACCCCATCAAAACCTGCACTGTTCTGACAAAACAAGGTTGTGTCAGAAAGGCAATGAATTTATTTAAACTGTACTAATTTTGTTAAGAGGAATCGTCAAAGATACAACCAGAAGCTTGACAGCTATCAAAAGTGCATAGATGAAGTGAAAATGGCCAAGGGGCATTTAACCGAATATTAGCACAGCTGTATGTATATTTTTGACCCAGCACATTTTGTCATGTTTCCAGAAGACCCAAAATAAATCTATGACCGATTCAAAATTTAAGATCCATGTGTTTCAAAGGTCCACCATAGAAAATAAAGAGCTATAGAAATGGATAGCATAAAAGCATATGTCAACTTTTGTTTTGTTTTAGTGTACACACTAGACTGCTTATGTGGACATACAAAAACAGACAAGGAGATGAAATAATGTACACAGTATGCCAGCCTGTGGACTTGTACATCCAGTTATAACACAGACACTCACGCACGCACGTACACGCATACAGAGTGACTCCAGGCCATACATCTAGCTGCTAACATGATTAAGAGTTTAATAGCCGCTGATTTCATTATGGCTCTATTGTAGTCATGACCTTCAAACCTGCTGTCAGGGAGGCAAAATGCAGTGTGAATGTGTGTGCATGTGGCCCAGTGCTGACTCGTGACCTTGAGCAGGGCAGTTAACCGTGCACATCCAGTGTAAAACCTGGTCCGTTTGTGTGTTTGTCATTCTGTAATTCAGAGGAGAAATGGAGAAGATATTCCTGTGGCCTTGACGAAAAACATCAACCACAGAAGGTTTGCTGCCTCCTTCCACCTCAAAGAAGTCACTAATCAGGATCAAGATCTGTATCGCTGCGTCACCCAATCAGAGCGCGGCTCTGGAGTGTCTAACTTTGCGGGTCTTATCGTCAGAGGTGAGTATTTTAAACAATATTTTCAAGGTTATTTGATTGATTTGTTGTCAGCTTTGTAGTTCTTTGTGCTCTTTCCGTTTTTTTCTCTGACTTTATATTTAGTATTAGCTTTTGGGAGATTATTCATTTCAGCTTCAGTAGGCAGCTTTTGGTGGAAAGTAACAAAGATAGTTCAGAATTTTTGGAAGCCAAATGACGATTTTCTAAGCCTTGCTGCATGTTGGTTACTGTTGCTTTGCCTGTCAAGCTTTCCAACATTGTATTGCTTATACACCAATGCCAATTTATCACTTGAAATTCTCAGCCATTTTTGAAACAGTGGGTCATCAAAGTCGGACAGAGGTAGATGGACATAGGGTTCTCTATCACAACTATCTATAGCCAATATTATCAGGTGATTAATTTAACTAGCCGCACAATTTGATACATTGAAAATGTTGTCTAATAATTTGGACACTAACACCTGACAGTAAATGTAGTGCCCCATGGAGTAAAAAGGGACTGAAGCCTGAGGCTTGAGATAGATGCATATGGCCAGTTGATGATTGAAGACAGGGAAATAAAGAAACCTTCTTGTTTCTGTATTGCTGTGTACAATTCATTGTAGTGTTGTACTTATGATAAGAAAAAAATGAACAGGAAAAATGTGAGATCAGACAGTTCATTCTCAAAATTTCCTGCTGGGCTGTTCCTTTTGTTCAAATAGTATGTATTACAAAATAGGACAGAAAAGCTTTGGTTTTGTTTTTTGTTTGTTTGCGTGGCAAGTGTATAGTCATATGGCCTGGTTTGCTGAATACTTTAGCCTTCCTCCTGTGTAGAATATTTGTTTTTGTATGCAGGTCTGAAATTTTCTACAAGACCTACAACCCTACAAATTAATGTGGCTACTTTATTATGTGCGTATGCCTTGCTTCAGAGACAAATTCTAGATTAGTACAGTAGGTCATGAGCAAGAAAGATGGACATGCAAATGTTTGCAGCTCTTTTTAAAGCAAATGCAAAGGCTATGAAGAGGCATGCACGTCCAAAATCAGAATCAAGTACCAATGGTATGCCACAATACTATTTTATTGTATTTTATAATTCTATTTAACACTTACTTTAACTGCTCACTTTATTGGTTCAGCACCTGGCCAGTTGTTTATATCAACCTTTTTTATTGTCTTTTCTTATTTTCACAACCCAGTTGCATATTTTGCATTGGGACTAACTTAACATTTAATGCAACTTTTGTAATGTTAAAATCAATTTAAAAAATACACATTCATTGTGTGTGCCTGATAAAATGTCAATCACTTACACAGTACAGACTAATGAGGAGACTTTTTGTGTGAGTGTATGTAGATATGTGTATGGCAGTCTTATGTTTGAAAGTGTATGCACATGCTCTGTGTGTGTGTGTGTGTGTGTGAAAGCTTGGGCTTTGTGCACATGTATGTGTTGTGTGTGGGGGTGCGTGAATGGAGACATGTGAATAGTGTGTGTGCACTCCAGCTGTCATGTGCATCTGACATGTGGTTAATAAGGTGTCACCAATGTGTGTTTGAGATGGGAGGCTTTATTCATTCACATCCAATAGCTTACATATTCAATTTATCTCCCAGAGAGAGGCAGAGGGGGAGGGCACAGAGAGAGAGAGAGGGAGAGAGTTGGGGGGGGTGTAAAGGCAAAAGAGATTCAGAAAAAATGATAAGAGAGTGACAGAAAGAAGGAAAAGCAATGGGAGACAGGGGAAGTTGTGCAACGGGAAGAGTGAAGATGGTGAAGAAAAGTTAAATGTAAATAGTCAGCTCATTATCCAAAGAATATCCATATCAGAATCAAGAATATGTCTGAATATGTAAACAGCAGAGCAGAGTCGTGTTTATTATTCTGCATAGGAGATGGCAGAGAAGAGAGAAATGAGAAATCAAAGCAGAAGCGAGCACCATGAATATGAAAATTAGACAGTGTATCTCAAATAATGGGGCTCTTACTCTGTCCAGTACAGTGTTCAAGTCTTTGTGTCGCTTGACCCTAGCACTGCCACGGTTGGTACATTTCCCCACTGGCAATGAATAGATTTCTTCTTTCTTTGGTCAAGAAAATTTGGCAGTTTTGGAGGCACACTTTTTTGCAGGACGATGCTGATTTAGTGAGAATACATAAGTGGCTAATGTTTATTTATCACGAACATCTTTTTGAATATGAGAAGGCAAAGAGGAGGGAGATGAGGAATCCACACAGCAGGAGGCATGTGTCTTAACATGAATAGGACCAATCTACATATATGAAAATAGATTCAGGTTCAACAAGATGCATTGAGAGCCGAGTGTTTTACAGTCAGGCATTAGTTTTAAAGACCAGCCACTTTCACAGTTGTGAAAAGATGCCTTTCGAGCTTTGAGGAATTTTGCTGATTCTGAATTTTGAACTAGAATCTGGTTGTTAGAAAGCTATCATAAAAGAATGAAGGCTGTATGTTTCAATGTGGGAGGCGAAGGAGCCTCATTTTTATTTATTAGAAATATCAGAAAAGTATCCTTTCTGGGAATTTGAGGCTCCTGCAGGACATCAGTAACATGAATATGGTCTGAGTTTACTCTGAATATTTGACTTTTTGATGTTTATATGAGTATGAGGACCAGAAAAACAGAAGAAAAATGTGCCAAAATATGAACTGTATACGATGTGTATAAAATGTTAGGCAGTAGGACACTAACCTCGGTTTTATCTTCAAAGCTTGAAAAATGGTCCACTGGGGGATGTGAGATTGCCTCAGTACAACAGGTACTCACAGGCATAGTCTATTGATATTTATAACATGTAGATTACAAAGATGTGCCATTTTCTTGTGCTGAAGCTGTCAAGATCAGAGAAAAGAAGCACATTTTGTAGACAGAGATGCGTCATGGGAGCATAAGGGATGTGACATGGGATTTCCGGATAAGTCTAATAGCTAGATGTTTTTCTCAGTTCTTTCAGGAGAAATATGCAAATGCAGAAATATTTTCTGTTGATTATTCTCACAAACTGATTTTTTTTCATGCAACAAAATGGCAAAATATTGTGAAATGTGACATGACGCAGTTTAGCAAAGCACAAGGTGACATCTTCAGATTGCTTACAAGCCAAAACCCAAATATACAAAATAGTGGTAAAAGTGGGTTTATCTGTTGTTTGTGTTTGCACAATTTTTTATAATTGAACATGTAAGCAGAAAAAAACCCCAAAACTGCAAGATATCCACTGGTTGTACTTTTCAAAGGAATATTTGCTGTTTTTTTGTTGTTGTTGTTGACAGTCTACTGAATAGATCTGCGTCACTTGTTATTTAAAAGTTGAAAAATGAGAAAAAAAGGTTTCTAATCTGACCAAATATCTGGAGACCAATTTCAAAACTTTAGTGTTACAGATTTATTTTTTTGTGTACCAAAACAGTACTGAGCCTTAAGTTTCAACACTGGATGGATGGATAATTTAAATATTTATTTAAATGTGTATATTTATGTGTGTCACTGGTAAAGCCCTCCCCTCTGCTTCCTATGCTGACAGAGTGCGTCAACATGCCAGCTTGTATCATACACAAATACACACGCACACATGCAAGCGCACACGCAAGCACACGCATACATCACCATGCCAGCTTGCATTACACACAACCCGTGGCCTAAAAATCTCCTGCAATATTACTGTCACACACACACGAATGCAAACACGCACATGAATTGGACCTATGAGCACACACAACTGACTAGAATTCATACAACTGTCTTAAACTGGCAATGGTCCACTTCAAAAATGTCCCTCTGTTTTTGCTTCCTGCTGTGATGTGCACATGTGCACGCACACACACATGCACAAACACACACTTTAATAAAAGTGACAGGTAGAGCTTCGGGCATTATGGAACTATAGAAAACCTACTACCACTGTTGGCTGTTGATGCAACTGAAAGACACACACACACACACACATACTTACATGCTCACACACACACTCTTTTGTAGTAGTTCTGGAGGTCAGATCCAGTGAGTTCCCGGATGATGTCAGCAGCAGTTTGTGAAAGTTAAACATTATTGACAGCGTTGCTGACAATGTACAACAAAAAGGAACATGCACAGTGGGCACCAGTCACCAATGAAATATCTGTTTGCCCTTTTATTCTTATCTTTCCTTGTGCTGACCTGTCTGCGTTTCGTAATGTTTTTTAATTGTATGATAAAAATTTAACTGAGAAAACATCTTTCAGAGGCTTAGATTTTTTTCAATATTAGAGAATAAAGTGAATGACAATAAAAAAAAAAATTATTCATACAGATGGGTTAGGTCAGAATTGAAACACACATTTGAAGTTTTCCCAGTGTTGATTTGTTTTGTTATTATCATTTACATTTGACCTAAAAACTGAAAAAATGATGAGAAGATTCACACGTGTGATTAATAATAAAAAAGATGGTGACAACAAACCCACCGCAAAATATTGCAATAACACCATTGATGATTTGTTATATTTTTTAGGTCAGCTGTACAAATGACAAGTGATGGAACAAATAAAGAAGAAAATCTAATGTGTGAATCCATTCCAGCTCTTGTTTTTTCTCTGGAGTCACAAAATGACCTACTTACATTTCTCACTGTTTCATTTTCCTGTCTATTATTTATCTTTTAGATATTCAATAGATTTTTAAGTAACACACAAACGTGTACTTAACACATCAGCTGCACATAGATAAATCTGGTGTTTAGTGTTCTTAAAAAAAATGTATCTTTGTTTGTCTTCGCTTTATTTCTTTATCTGTTAATCATCAAGTTGTTTACTTTGTTTATTTGATGGAATTGCAAGCTGACATGTTGTTGACGTTGTTGGTTTTCTGAAGTCACTTCAACATTCATTATCTGGATTCAAACCTGTCTGCCTGTGTGTGTGTGTGTGTGTGTGCGTGCATGTGTGTGTATGTGTGTGTTTGTGTTTGCACATGTGCATATGCTGTCAAACTTCAGTGTTTCATCTATTGCTAAAAAGACACTTCCTGGCGTGCACCTCTCTGACAGCCACATTCAGCACACAGAAAAATGCCAACACACACTCAAACAAAAAAAAGAGGTGACAGTAATGCAAAGTGTAACTATTAATGGTGCATCATACACAGTAACACTTAAGCACACATTTAATTTAGATAATGCATACATTGATGTGGTGTGATTAAAGCTAGATGGTAAAAAAACACACCACATTTTTCTCTCCTCAGACAGATAGCAATATTGCTCGGTGGTGTGCTTGAGGATGTGTGTCAGAGATAAAATCTGTACGATTTACTGTGTGTGAGATAGATCACAGTGCGTGTGTGTGTTTGTGTGGACAGTGATTAATATACGTGCTGATGTATGTGTGTATATGTGTCATGTGGATAAATCTTTGATGCACTGTGTTTTAAGGATGTGTGTGCTCTCAGCCTGTCAATCTCAGATGTGTGACAGTTGGCTCTGATCTTGCTGGCCTATCACACATCAATCACATTAATGTACATGTACACACAAAATGTATTCACTAAGAGCTGTAATACAGAGATGAGTTTTAAGACATTATGAAAACAGTATACT